CCCCAAAACCCCAAAACCCCGCTACTTTCATAATTCTTATGTATAATGGTAAAATTATTTAATATAATGGAATTATGATTCTAGTCAATTTCTCCTTAACTATTATTGGGTTGAAAAACTATTTATTTTCTAAATTATTATCTGAATAAATTAAATCATTGAAATCTTTTAAATATGAAAGGATAAAGAACCCCAACCAGATTTGGAATGTAAACCAATAAATCTATCAAGAGAAACTACACTATCGCTAAAAATGTTTAATTAAAATAGAATAGAAACATTGACTTCGTTGAAAGGCCTTCAGCCTATGATACTTCTGTAAAAAAAACTTGTGATGTTTGTATAACTAAAAAGATACAACTAAAGAAGCATCATGAATAGATATAAAAGGTTGAAGAAAGTCGGGCGAAAAGAGATGGTAGGCTATTCGTACCAACTAAATTTACCTTTGATAACAAGGGATGCAGAAATTGCCAATAAGAGTAGTATATAGTTCTCAAAGATACTGTTGAGTTAGATGTGATTAATTCTAACGAGAGAAAAAGAAGTCTTAAGGAAAATAACTTCTTTTTAGAAAGCATTGATGAAGTAGAAGCTGGCACTAAAAGCTGTTCTGCAACTGATGAAAGCTAGGAGGTCAAGATTATTGAGCAATAGAAGAAATAACCTAAGGTGAGAAATGAAAAGAAAGTTGAGAGGAGGTTAATGAAAGGATAGAATGGGAAAAAACCTTAAGTTGAATACTCTGAGAATGAGGAAGTTAAAATTGAAGAACCACCTGTAAAAATTGTTAGGAAAGAAGTAAGCACTTATCATAATCATGAATTTGTGATGGATAAAGAAGACTATGAGGAGAAGCATGGTAAAATCTATTAATCTGAGAGAGAAAGGAACAGTGACCGCAGAATAAATTTTAAATTTCCTCGACCAAACAAGCCTGAAAATGTACTTGCATAGTTTGGAGGAAAAGGATAAGCAGATTTATACAGAGAAATCTAAGATTATAAAAAGAAGAAAAGTGATAAAAATTATTATGAAAGAGACATAAAAGATGAAATGAAAATTACGAAAATGGGTCTGTTGTTTAATTTTTGAGAGATGCCACTAGGATCATAAATCAGCAATTTATATATATAGTAATCTTAATTAAATAAGTAATTCTGTCAATCATCTGCTTAAAATAAAGTATTTATTCAAGGGGTTTTGGGGTTTTGGGG